GATCAAGTTACTTTTTAATTTTAAGTGCTGAGGTGTCCCACAGTCTCTCGCCTCCATGGTACACAAAGCTATAGTGGCTTTTCTTTTGTTCTGGTCAAGCACAAATATTTGCACATGGGAAAATATTTTAGCTCTGCAGACCGATACATCAGCCATCTGCCTAGAAAAGCCAACGCCTTTCTGTGCTGAGACGGATACATAGGGGAGGATCCTGTTCTGTCAGTTCTCAGATTCCTGTGCCTCACCTCACCTCACTGACGTTAAGTCCACGTTTGTTTGGCTACCCTTGGTCTGATTTCAACAGATAAGTCCAGACAGTAAAGTAGGCATGGATATGTGAATAAGTGGCAATAAAGTTTGCTTCCTGCAATGTGTTGTGTTCATAGAAAAGGCAGAACTCAGAGAAATCTTTTATACAAGACATGGGTGATGCTGTATTATGCTCATGTTAATATTAGCATCCATACAAATGGTATACAGGCTATGAATTCTGTAAAAGCACACAGTCTATGCAGCTAGGCTCCTTATATTTTGATGGAATTTATTCTGTATAAAAAACTTTCTGCTTTCACATTTTAAGACTTTATTCTCTTCCTTCAACTCTAACCCAAACAACAGAGCTCAAATAAACTTGTTTGCTTTAGTTCCAGTTAACTAAGGAACCAAAGGAATAGCTTCCTAATCTTTCTTAACAGAGAGAAGTAAAGAGTGAGAATTAAAAATCTGCCTGTTAATACTGTGAATAAAGATGTGTGGAATGCAAGCAGACAAGAAAGAAAGAAAAGAGGGAGTAGTGTCTCATGACATTAATTTCAGAGGAAAAAAAGGGGAAAGAGTGATGTTGTGTCTGTCATTGCACAGGCTACAGAATTACTGTCTCATTCCAGAGCAGTGAGACTTTAACTTGAGGTCTGAATTTCTCTTCCGTCAGGAGAGATCTTACCTAGAAAAATAATCTTCAAATAAGAGAAGGCAGAAATATAATAGCAGCTCTAAAATTAAGGATGAATGTTGAACTAAGCTGTGAATGGAGAATATGTGTGCAAAATACTTGGTAGTTTTTACCTGAATATCTAGCTCCACCAAAAGGGCTGGATCTGAATCTTTAAAAATTACAAAGATTTAGTCCCATTTCTCAAGGCTATGGCTGTGAACAGATTTCAGCCTGGCACCTATGGGAATCTGAGAAGGGAAAGAGGGTGAAAACCCCTTTAGTCACTTTGCAAAGAGATCTTATCTGACACAGAGGAATTTATGTGCCTGTGACATTTCTGGAAAGTGTCTGCTGTCTGCTTGGATGAGTGGTTTGTCAAAAATGTCAAAAACTTCTGCAGTGGAAAATACTCTTCTAGATTACAGATGCAACCAGTATCAATAATACCTTTGGAAGTTAATCCAGATTTTCTTAAAATGTTAAAATAACATACATTGCAGTGTAGATATAAAGGCTAACTTTCATTTGAAAAAGTGATCATTTTATTGTTCTGTAAAAAGTTGTCATTTATAATATAATTCACATAGGTTATTGCCTATGGGGGAAAATTTCCTATGTTCCATGGGGAACAACAGTAGATTTCTAGGCCCAGGGCTTACATTACTTATTACTGTCACAATCCCATTAAGTGATGATTCTACTATTTATTCTCTCTCAGAGCACTGAGGTCAGTCAGACTATGGAGATTAACATTCCTGAGCCCAGGATAAATAACACTCCAGGAGCCCAGACTGTGGTCCTGAATCACAAATCTTTTAGTAGTCCAGCTTTGTGGATTCTTGACAGCCATCTTTTTGCTTATGAATGGATCCACTAAAAGAAGAAAGAGCTTTAAACTAGATTTGAAGGGGGAAGGGGATAAAACCAGGCTCACTAGAGATAAACCTGTGGGTGGCAGACCAATGTTTGAGGGACAGTGTGCTAGCAAGGTCCTTCGGTCTGCCATCACAATGGAGGCAGAAGATGGAGATCCAACCAACAGCAAAGATACAAGGGTTATTGATGAGTTACAAACCACAGAAGCACATGAAAATGTCACATAGGAATTAAGGCTTCTCCCCCCAAAAAGGCGACAAGATCAATAGCCCAACTGAAGTGCATCTAAACTGATGCATGCAGCATGGGCAACAAACAGGAGGAGCTGGAAGCCACTGTGCAGCTGGAAAACTATGATGTAGTTGCCATCATGGAAACATGGTGGGATGACTTGCCAAGTAGAGTGCTGCAATGTGTGGCTATAAACTCTTCAGAAGGGATATGCAAGGAAGGAGAGGCAGTGAAGTAGTCCTGTATGTTACGAAGTGTCTTGATTGTCTAGAGCTGAATGATGGTGACAATAGAGTTGGCTGTTTATGGGTAAGAATCAGGGGGAAGGGCAACAAGGCAGATATCATTGTGGAAGTCTGTTATAAACCACACAACCAGGAAGAAGAGGCAGACAAAATATTCTATAAGTAGCTGGGAGAAGTCTCACAATCATCAGCCTTTGTTCTTATGGGGGTGTCTTCAACTTACCAGATGTCTGCTGGAAATACAATACAGCAGAGAAGAAACAGTCTAGGAGGTTCCTGGAGTGCATGGAAGATAACTTCCTGACACAGGTGGTGAGTGAGCCAACTAGGGAAGGTGCCCTGCTGGACCTGTTTGTGAAGAGAGAAAGACTTGTACGTGATGTGACAGTTTAAGGCTGTTTTGGGCATACTGATCACAAAATGATAGTTTTCTGTTCTTGGAGAAATAAGGTGTGGGGTCAGCAGAACTGCTACCTTGGACTTCCAGAGGGCAGCTTTTTGCCTGATTAGGGGCCTGGTTGACAGAGTTCTTTGGGAGGCAGTCCTGAAGGGCAAAGGAGTCAGGGAATGCTGGACATTCTTCAAGAAGGAGATCTTAAAGGCACAGGAGCAGACTGTCCCTATGTGCCAAAAGACAAGATGGCAGGGAAGAAGTGTGGCCTGGCTGAACAGAGAGCTTTGGCTGGAACTCCGGAGAAAATAAAAGAGAGTTTATGACCTTCGGAAGAAGGGAACAGGTCACTCAGGAGGACTACAGGGATGTCATGATCTTATGCAGGGAGAAAATTAGAAGCACCAAAGCCTAACTAGTACTTAATCTGTCTACAGCCATGGAGGACAGTGAAAAATGTTTCTATCAATACCTTCAAAAAGGAGTGCTAAGGAGAATCTCCATTCTGTATTGGATGCAGATGAAAACATAGTGACAAAGGATGAGGTACTTAATACCTACTTTGCCTCAGTCTTTAATAGTAAGACCAGTTGTTCTCTGGGTACCCAGCTTCCTGAGCTGGAAGGCAGGGACAGGGAGCAGAATTAATCCCCCATAATCCAAGGGCAAATGGTTAGTGACCTGTTGCATGACTTAGACACACACAAGTCTATGGGGCCAGATGGGATCCACCCAAGAGTACTGAGGGAGCTGGCAAAAGTGCTCACCAAGCCACTGTCCATCATTTATCAGCAGTCCTGGCTAATCGGGGAGGTCCCAGTTAACCAGAGGTTAGCAAATGTGATGCCCATCTACAAGAAGGACTGGAAGAAGGATCTGGGGAACTATAGGTCTGTCAGTCTGACCTTGGTGGAGGGGAAGGTTATGGAGCCGCTAAATTGTAAAACCAGCTAAATAGTCACCCTGAATTAGGACTGCTGGCCTCATGAAGTGATTGAGATTGGAAGGTACCTGTGGAGGTCATCTGGGCCAACATCCTGCTCAAGCAGGGCCACCTACAGCCAATTGCCCAGGACCATGTCAAGGTGGTTTTTGAATATCTCCAAGCATGGAGAGTCCACAACTTCACTGGGAAACCTGTCCTAATGCTTAGTCACCCTCACGATAAAAAAGTGTTTCCTGATGTTCAGACAGAACTTCCTGTGTTTCAGTTTGTGCCTGTTGCCTCCGGTCTTGTCACTTGCCACTGAATCCAGCCTGGCTCCATCTTCTTTTCACCCTCCCTTCAGGTATTTATATACATTAATAAGATCCCCCCCTGAGCTCTCTCTCTCACTGAGTTACAGTGGTGTGACATCAGACTGTGCCTGTGGCTTCCCTCTCTTTGGTATGGAAATGTATTAACATTACAGTGTGAGGAGTGACAGCATTCAGCACAAAAAGGACATCAGCCCTGGGTTTGGCCTGTGTATATGTGCATGTATCTACTTAACAGGAAAGAAGAGGTGAAGTGTTCATCCAGTGTATAATCCCAAAGGATCCCTCAGCATATTTATGGTCTTCAGCATTTGTATGTGTGAGGGTGCCTTCTTTTACTGAGAGGCTGATGGAATATCTTGACTGACTAGGGTAATCCATGAGATTAGTCTTTTATGGCAGATGTCATTTTTGCAGTCATTGGAAAGTAGTAGTAAGCAAGAAAACAAGAATACCATGGGCAAAATGTAGTTACTAGAGTTGAAGGGAGGACAACAGTTTTGTTTTGCAGCTGCTTTCCAGATCTGAAATGGAAAGTTTTTGTTTCATAGTGCAATGAAAGCATAGACATGCAAATACTTCCACAAATGCAGCCTTCCCTCAAATATCCATCCAGAGCCTGCAGCCTTAGTCTTCTGAATCTTTAGTAGATGAAGCAGGTTTGGGCTGGTAGTATAACTATCTCATGTTTGATTTCCTGCCTGAGTTAGAGCAGAGGTTGTTTCAAGCCACTGTCTCTCATGATCTTGGTTCATGTTGAAAGTGAATGTATGGAGGGAAAAAATTTCCTTGCAATGTCACAGCAAAGACCCACCACATTTCACCTACTCTTTTTGGTAATATTTGGAATCTACCATACTTAAGCATTTCCAAAGTTATTTTGTGCTAAAATTCTCTCCACCCTACTGTGAAAGTGTTGCCATGGCTATCCTCTGTCATCTCTGGCAGCTAGCTCACATCCCCTTCTCCTGAACATCTCTGGCATGCTCAGAAGAGGGTATGCCCACAGACTGGGAAATGTTGCCAAATCTGGATTAGACATGGACATAAATGAGCTAAACACAACTCAAAGGAATGTGATTACCAGTTTAATTTTGTTTCTAGCATTTTCCCATAGGTTAAAAAAATCATTTAATTGATTATGAAGACAGTATATTGTTAATGACTAATACAAGCATTTTTTTCTCTTAGTGTACGTCATCACCACTCTGTTGGAATTTATGCCTATATCCAAATTTTACATAATTGTGAAGACAGGTGCAATATAACTCATTCATGACAAATTAATAGTAGGTATTGCAAATTAGCAAAGCTGTACTGCAAAGATCCTTTCTTCAGGTAGCACAAACAAGTGATACTGGTTCTTAGCACATAATATTACGTACATGCTCTTAGTACAGATGAATTTCTTGCTATCTTGCTCTGATGGAAAAGCACGTTGCTGGGATGACAAACTATTTCAACAGACTTCAGCTTTTTACTCAAAACGGTGTCTGCCCTTGCATACAGCAACCCTGGGGAAATTTTGTGAAGATTTTGTATGTACAGATCCCCTCACTTAACTGCCTCTGTGATGTCTGGGTTGGGATGCTACAGAAAAAGAGGGGATGACCTGGGATGAGCTTCACATGACTCAATGTGATTTAAATGAAAAGAGCTAGGACAAGCCCATTCATTTTTCCCATACCAGAATTTACAAGCATCATTTGCCCTCAGGTGTGAAGTTCTGTGACTATCTCCTTCCACCTCTCTTGCTTCACTGTATCTTTATCATAGCAAAATCTGTAGTTGCGATCTGATGATTATCACCTCACTGAGACCACATGCTCAGTGTGAAATGTCTATTCTGTTTTCAGCTATCAGTTAAAAAAATTATACAGAAGAAAGCTAAGCCCAGATTGCTGATTTTTTTTCTATATAAGCTATTCCAAAAATCTATAGGAAGAGCCTTCCTGTCTGATTTTCCAGCAGAGTTTCTTTTCCTTTAATGAGAAATAAGTGCATAGTTACACTTGAATTACGCTAGCAATTTACAAGCTTCTTGCAATAAAAATAAAAATTAGGAGCCAAGATGCAGCTATTAACTTATATAACAAACTCAAATAGTCATCAAAAAGATTTCTTATAACTCTCAATCAGAAGTCATAGATGACTTAAAGTCATAGTTGGATTGAGAAAATACAGTTTGAAGTTGCTGTACCTTAAACCGTCACTTTCAGTTATTCAGATAACTAATTTCAGTGTTTAATAGATTTCTCCCCTTGTTTTCCAGATGGGCACAATAGTCTTCCTATGTTTGTTCTTCAAATTGTACATATAAATTTCTTATGAAATCTGATATACCAAAGCTGTTTGGTAAGTGTTCAGAATGCTAGTAGAGACAGAGAGATTAACTAAAATATTTTAAAATGTTAGGTTTCCTAGTGCAGCTTCACCTCGTAGAGGCTATGGTCACTTCACTGTTACTGGTTACAGTTCTGTCTGAATGAGGCGTAGTGCTTTCTTCATGTTCTCTATTACTGAAAGAAAAATAAGTAAGAACTGTAAAAAAAGCACTCAAAGTGTGTTTGTACAATCAAAAAACTCACCTAGTTTGATTAGTAAATTATTCACACTGAAATTAATTTAGGGTCACAAGTTATACTTTAGAGCTTTCTATTGTGAAAAATCTGGCTTTGATACTAAAACAGAAGGTAAAAAGGTTCATGAATCAAAATGTTTAACTTAAAGGGATTTGACAAGACTCCTTTCAACCCCCTAATTTCTCAACAGCAAGCCTGGTAATCAATCAGATGTGACATGCATAGTTGTGGTGCAATACTGCGTTGCTGTCAGATAGAGTAAGGAGTAGCTCAACCTGAAAAATCACATTCCTTTCTGAAATATGGGTGTTAGGTGGTACCCAGGTAACCACCAGCATTTCTTTACTGATTCCCTCCCACCACTGGCTGTTTACGTTGTACAGTTAGATACCTTTGAGCGTAGTGACTGTCACCATTCTCCAGCAAACTACTCAGATCTTGATCCTGAAAATTCTCATCCATGATTTTTTTAATTTGCCTTACCTGAATAGTCCCAATAAATTCAGTGGGACAATAGGTGTGCTTAAATGTTTTGCTAGAACAGGTTATACTACTATAAGTCATTGCAAATGCTCACACACAGTCTTTATTCATTACTTAGAGATCTTAACAGTTTCTCAAGCACAAATGATTAGGACGGGGTGTATCTGGCTGCTTACGATGTGAAATGCAAAGTAACACAACAAAGGGGCACTTACAGAATGGTATGTCTTGTGGTTCGTAAGTGTAAAGCCGGTTGGAGTATCTTCCTGTGATATCAGCTCTTACTGTGAGAGATGGATCTGAAAAAGTAACCATATTAAACACTGCTTTCCATTCCCACGACAGCTGAGGGCGATGTCTGTGGTACTACTTTGACAGCCCTGTTTCTGAGGTGTTCGCATTTCATCAACAAGGCAATTAGGAGGCCGTTACGCTCTGTTCCAACCAACTGCTCTTTACCTGGAGAAATCCTGAACAAAAGCTAATGCTTATTTTTATATTATGCATCTGTTTTTAAGAGATAGATTACACATGAATTTCATCTATATTTTAAGAAAAATATCCTGTTTTACAAGTTCTGGGGTTACATCAGGAGAGGCCAGTTTAACTGGTTACACACATAGTGAGGGTTATGTGTACCTAATGCAATATTAACATGACCTACCTGGAGCCTTCAGAACTAAAATCTTACGATTCTTAGCGTTTCCATCATGGGAACAAGTTGTTGTGGACATTTCTTTTCCCAGTTGCCCTTCCAAGCTTTCTGTTAGTTAACTGACTCCTGTTACTACATTGTTCTCTGTCTGAGTGTGGGCTTCATCTCACCTAACTTTGGATGCCACCACACAGCTAGTCACTCTAGGCTCCTTGTACCATCAGTGAAAAGGAACAGGTACTATGGGGCATGATTCATTCGATCTATTCCAGAAGTCACCTTTATGATGAGTTAAATCATTCCTTAGATGCCACTGTCTACTGACCTGCTCTGTGGTAATGTTCACAGTGTAGACATCTAAATTCAGTCAGATATTTAGATAAAGTTTATAAGATAAACTTTATCTTATAACAGCACTAACAAGAAACATGGAGATGAAAAGCTCAGATATTAACAGATATTTAAGCATCTTGCCTCCAGGCACAAATTAGGTACCCTGCAGAACATATCGTAACCTGAGGAAGTTTTTGAGGGTCAAAGCCTGTAACAGAGGGAGAAATGAACTCAGATCTGCCAAATTCCACACTAATGCCATGGTAATGATAAATTTTGAGATTTTTTTTTTTTTTTCAGAGTGAACCTAAGGTCCGAAGCCTGTCATATGAGGAAAGGCTGAGAGAATTGGGTTTGGTCAGCCTTCAGAAGGCTTAGGGGAGACCTTATTAGGGGAGACCTTATCGCCATATTCCAGTGTTTAAAGGGTGACTACAAAGAAGATGGGGACCCCCTTTTTACAAGGAGTCACATGGAAAAGACAAGGGGTAATGGGTACAAGTTACTCCTGAGGAGATTCCAATTGGACACAGGAGGGAAATTGTTCACCATGAGAACAATCAGCCACTGGAATAATCTCCCCAGGGAACTGGTGGATTCCCCGACATTGGACACACCTAAGATTCAGCTGGGCAGGTGCTGGGCCATCTTGTCTAGCCCGTGCTTTTGGAAAGAAAGGTTGGATCAGATGATCCTTGAAGTCCTTTCCAAGCTGGTATTCTGTGATTTGATGATTTTGATGTCCCCAAAGGAGGACACTGGCATAGATTCAGATATCACAACTTTGAAGATACATAAATATTTTACATACCTACGAACATGATTCGAGGCACGTATTGTCCATCAGGTGACAAATTTTTATCTGTGGTTTCATGCTGGCAGAGAAATTAAAGTAGGTTATTAAAATATTTCTGTGAATTTTTCTGAAGTAGTACCAAGTGTGAATAGTCTTGTACCAGAGGACAAACCAAAAAAGGTATGACTTGTGTGTAGATACACAGGCACAAATGCCTGTATTTACATGTGACTGAAATGTCGGAGATATTTAGCTAAAATGACATGAAAAAGCAAGAGAAAGAAAGAGAAAACACAGGCTAAAAATGATACCAGTCAAACCACCCCAAACCCGTCATACCATGAGATTCAGCATAACGAAGTTATTTTGGGCCATTTCCTGTATCTCTTCATTTTCTGCAAAAGCTTTCTTCAGTGCTAGAAAAGACACGATCATTTTGAAGCCCATCTCAAACACTGCCCTTCCTCTGTGTTTAGGCACCATGTTTGCCGGAGACTGGCCACATTGTTCCCATCTCTGCTGATTCACATTCCTGAGGAGACACTTAAGGGCTCTATCACTCCTTTTTGTTTTTTTGACCCATGTCAGTACAACCTCCCGGCTATGAAAATGGAAGCTCTCTTCTGTTATTTGTGAAGCCTGTCGTCTTAATGGATACCATGTCTCAGCTTGACAAAAGTGCATTATTCTCAGAAAATTCTTATTAGATCAATTTCAGCAGCCTGTCCTCATCTCCTTCTTTAGTTACCAGTTCAGGAGAGCCAAACAATATTAAATCTGTTCAATGAGTCAGAAGCAAATCTGCATCTCTTAATTTAAACTGATGAGCGCTGCATGAGGGATAGCAGAACAGCAGCACTAAGTATCTTTCACGTTCTTTGTTGGGTAGTTTCATAGTGGAGTTTTTGTAAATAACAGTAATAAATTCTTAACTTTTCAAATACATTTTCATTTACCTATTTCTTTAATTAATTTTCAGTAAGTGCAAGGTAAATATATAGATAGGTGCAGTTTCTTAAATGAATATTAAAAAAATTTTAACACTCAAAAAATCAAAATTACCTTGGCAGTATTGACAGTCTTCCAAATGATGAATTACCATCAGTGGCTTGTTACTTCATTAATAATAATAAAACATGTAGTTAGGTCATTTGGTAAATATGCAAATGGTTGATTTTACTAGCAGATCAGAAAAGGCAAATTACGTTTACTCACAGTAAAACCATACGGACATTCATTTTTGAACAAGGGAAAAGAATGTAACTCCTTCATAAAAAAAGGAAATAAATAATTTCTGTATCTAAATAGACTTTCTAAAGTAAGAAGTTCTAGAAGAAAGAAACAAGAGATATAATTTCATTCCAGTTAGTACATAATCAAACTGAAGAGGTACTTAATGCTTAGGTGTGAAGTTCTCCATGATTAGGAAAATACAAATAATCTGTATGAAGTGAATTAAAATAATTTTTATAAAATTGGGTTAATTATTAAATACTACTCATGAAAAGTTTCATGGTTTTTAAGCTTTCTTGAACAGATATACAGTATTTTATTTTTTTTTGGTAAATAATTTGTTATCAAAATTCTCTATTTTTGGCTGTCAAAACATAAAACAATTCTATGCGTTTTCTCCTGTATTTTTTTTTTAAATTACTGTTACTGTTCAGCAAATCAGTTACTAATGCCTGATCTGCTATCACCGTCAATAATTGTTTGGTTCCTAGCCATTTTCACATAGGGTACATGAAATTAATTGCCTTTTAATTTTAAAATAATTTGGCTTCAATTTAACAATAGCTCATACTACACTATTATGAACTAAAATGAACTGTAAGAGAGATTTAAATAAGTATTGTTATGGACTTTCAGATATTTTTTCAGCTTTGTCCCAGGGGACATTCAGACTGGAACTTTCATTTCTACCAAGATAGTGAGAAACATGTGCCAACTAGTAGTGTTGGGGGAAAACATCAGAAGCAGTAATCACCATGCAAGAGCAAATGTAACTGATTTCCAGCTGTCCATTAAGGAAGTAATCAGAGGTACATGATTTTAAAAAAACACAACGGAGGTATTTTTTAAATTATAGTATAGATTTATCATTGCTTATTCAAGTGACAACACTGCTGTTGTGACAAAGAAATGATGGTGTTAAACTATAAGCCCATGATCTTGCTTCAGACTCCTACAGCGGCTTTTATTTATAAACACAAAATCTGTTTTATTTAACTGGGTGGTCTGCGGATCAGCTGTCATGGTGTTTCTTTGTTCTGTTTCATTATAATATATTCAGGCATGACTGATTAACAGCTTCGTCTTTCAAACTGTTTTTTATCTCTTACCTTTTTTTTGCTTGATAAAGCCCTTCTTCATAAGTTTGTACCCAGGTAATTTCATCTCCCCACCCTAGAAATATAACAAAAGGATTAACTGGTGGCCAGGCAAGTAAATCATAAAACATTCATTTTTTTTATATTTATCACTAGTTGTACACAAATAGGATTTGTGTTATTTAGTCAAAGCTTCCCAAATATTGTGGATATGCTAATTCTACATCTCCTGATAGGTGCATTGGAAGGTTAAAATATCTTAACCAACCAAACCCACAAAAAACCTCAGCTGATTGCATATCCAGCTCAAGTCCTTTGGCAAACCTGTTAGATGTCTTTCTAAATACTCAGAGGTCCCTAAATCAGCACCCACATCCTTAATATGTTTATATTGTCTGCTCCATATTTCATGTAGACCCTGGGGCTTAAAGAGAAAGTTGGCTTATAAAAGAGAGAAAAATAAAATATGACAGATCAAATAACATCAACTTTAATATGAACTTTGTTAGAACAGTCTTGGGTTATAAACTTAACTCCCGAGTAACGAATTTGAATCCCTGGAGTTACAAGTACTTAATTTAATTAAATTTAATAAAAGAATGTCTGTTAAATAAAAATCTCCACTGAAACAAAATCCTAACGAATCATCGGCTTCATAGCTCATCCACAGCTGGTTACACTGATCTCAAAAAGCAAATTGTCCGGTTGGTTTCATGCCTTCAGATCCTGAAGATGCCAGCCCCTGTGTAGTAGATCCCTGTCTTCCAGGCAGTGTTTCTCCATTCACAACAGCCCTCATGGGAATTGTAGAACAGCTTCTGGATCTGGACCAGGTTAAGGCTCTGTTTCTTCTGCGCTGTCTGGACAGCGCTTGGCCTATGCCCTGGTTATACAGAGATTTGCTGTTAGCTTTTTCATGGGACAATTGCTTGTGATGCTAAAAGGTCATCTCTTCTTTCAGGAGAGTGATTGCAGTTTCAGATCTGTCTGGTTGATGGTGGGATTCTGGCATGTTGACCAGTGCGTTCCCAGCCCTGGCTAAAGCCAACAGCTGACGTAGGTAACAGCATGGAGGAGTTAGCAAGGGTCATTTTGCAGCAGGTTTAAGTATTCCCCTTTGATCTGTGAAAATTACAGGTAAAGCACTCAAGGCATCCCAAAAGGCCTGAAAGTAGAATTAGAAAACTAACACTTGCTTTCTGTGACTTTTTTTTTTTTTTTTTCCCCCAAAAATTGCCAGAACTGAAGGGATTTTGTTATCTTTTTATACATTTAGGCTTAGTGGGAAAAATAGATCCTGATCTTGGCAAGATAGGCAGTAGATACTCTGGGTAGTCTAGGCATTGCATGATTTTGTCAAGTGGTCCCTGAGCAATTAGGGTCAGATGGGATCTCTGTGACAGGCAGGGCTTTGTATGGAAAAGGGGTCTGCAGGCTTTGCACAGCTTGTAGAAAGGTCAGGGAAAGAGCTGGAGATTTTTTGAGTAGGCCTGAAAGGAGAGGGAAGATGAAGAAGAGGAAAAGACCTCAGAAACCTGTTTCTCTGCTTGTATTTCTAAAGATTGATCAGAAATGAATAACTTAAAATAGGGTCTTTAGTTAACATCCAGGTTGAAAATTTTGCACCACAAGGAAGTGTTCGCTGCAAAGCGTGGCTGTGAGTATCTGATGAAAAGCAAAAGCACAAAAAAGTCACAGAGAAAAAACCCACCAGTGGCTCAAACTGCTCTGTGTATAAAAAAGGGTCTGTAAAAAAATTGTTCCATAGCAACTGAAGTTATGAAACTGTGTTTCAGTAGTTAGTAAGTCTTTTAAATGGTATATGCAAAAATATTTTTTTCAGTGATAGTCCTACAGGGACATCCTGAATTGAGAGACTCAGTTTAGGTTGCTTGCTTCTATTAGATCACTGTGGGTTACATAAATGATGCAGGTTATATGAGGCCCTCAGCCATATTCTTAAGAACAAACGGATAAAGTGAAACAACATGAAATAAGATGTACTACTTAGAGTGTCATTTAACAGTAGAAAACCACACCTCAGTAAGTATATGTGTGCTTCCATGCACAATTTAAATAAAACCATTTGCTGACTTATATGGTAAGATAAGGGGGTAGCTACATACAGTAAATACACAGTACCTCTTGACAGTGTCTGAGGTGCTCGTTTTTCCTTTTTGATTGCCATTGCAAGGTTGGAAGAGACTGCAATTAGCAGGAGGGACAAGGCCAATGTTGAATGGAGCATTATTTCCCTTTCAATGCAGCAAGGAAACTGGAAAACAAAGCAACAGCTTTAGTTGCGTGGATTTGTCACCTGGCACAGTGTAAATCAGCGTGTTAGTGGTATCCTAACAATCTATAGTACAGGGACAGGCTTAGTGATTCCTAGAAATGCCTTTCTTTGTGAGGAAAGTGCAAAATGGAGGTGCTTAATTTTATCATGCAACACTGCTTTCAGCTGTCAAAATTGGGCTGCAGGGGATGGTTCTTACTACAGTGCACTCAGGGAAACAAAGTTCATTTCAGTTCAGTCATGCAGCGTTTGATTCTTATGAACTAGTACAGTGTTGTAATACTGGATCATGACAATCTCAAAACAGTGCTATTAGTTTTTCTGTTAGTTTTTTTCATTTTTATGAAACGTAACAGCATGGGATGTTTTATATGGATAGTAGATTTTTGGTTAAAAGATGTCTCATGATATTCTCCTTAATAAAATAAGAGAGTTGACAAATATTTGCCTCCAGGTATAATACATTTTAAATGAGAAAATCCCTCCAGAAAGTCGAGGTTGCCATCATTGTTTTAGCATGCATTCTGTGAACCAGGTTGTTAAAGATTGTAAGATAAATATCAAAGAAATTTCTGGCTGTTTCTCACAATGAAAACTCTAAAAATTTCCCCGTTCTTCAAGGCATTTTTAAACTGATTTCAGCTCAACTCCTGCTTAATAAAACAATCCATCTGTGTTCCTGTCTGTTTCAGTATTCTGAAGATGTTTGTTTCTCTTCCTGACAAAGACCATGATAAGAAATTCAGTAACTTCTGGTCTTCATAGAAGTCAGAGAACAAAAGCAGAGAACAAGAACAAAATGGTTGATGAAAAGCATTACAAAGCCTTTTTTTTTTTTTTTTTTTTTTTCAATCAACTTTAGGCATTAAAGCTTTGATATTCAGGTGCATACCTGATGGTTTGAAATAAGGCGAAAAATATAATACATGTAGCCCACAATACTACCCAGTTAGCTTATCAGTTCTGGCTGGAGATTCCACTTTTCAGAGGCTGAGCTTTAGGAGTTACCAGGACCTGCCGAGAAAATGCTTTAACTTAAAAAAATAAATCATCCCCTGAAGCACATGTGCCTGTATTGATAAATAACATTTCAAACTTGAATTTAGAAGTGATATGCTATATGGAATTACAGCCCTGAGTACTGGCAAAAGAAGATGCTTTGTGCTTCTTAGGACAGAGAGGCATGAAAAGTGCAGCACCTTTTATCTTACTTCAATGAATCTCTCAACATCACTACTGTTTACATCACTGTTAACAGCTAAATTTCTATTGCACTTCCAATAACTGGCAACCTCAGTATAAGAAAAACATTCTGTTCCAGTGACTGGACAACAACTTGCATGTTAAAATGTGCAAAACTTTAGAAAAAATGAAGTATCATCTTATAGAAAAAATCTTAAATTTCTGAAGAAATTTCCCTAGGTTTCTAAAACAATTAATACATCAATTATAATATTTTTCTCCTCAGCCTTGTCCACACCACTTCCCTTTCCCTCCACATAACATCACAATTCTAGAGTTGTTCTTTGTTTCTAGACTTATTAATGTTAGCTATTGTTGATTGAGTTTTGGAAAGGAGTCTCCTTCTGAGCTTACTAATTATGCACATTAATTTAATGGTTGAATATTATCAATGTTTAATAAGAAAATGCGAAGTTTTCCAGTGTTTCCTAGGGAAAGGCTATAAATTTTGGTTAAGAGTGGGGCATGAGGATTTTTTGGTAATAAAAATTCTGTTACAATTTTTCCCATGTTTGTGCAGACCACTTCAGTCAGCAAAAGCAGATCATTACCCTCTACTATTATATTCTCGATGATTGAGTATTTGCTGCAACTCTATATGAAAGTTAATAACTGTATTTAGTATTAGTTTACCTATTAGATGTTAACAATAAAATCTAGCAATTATATTATCATGTTAAGATGTTATTTAAACATAAATAGTTATGGCTTTGAAATCACACCAGATAATGTCTCTATAAAGCAGGTATGGAATGCTTGAATCAGGTTTTATTTCCATGATGTAATCATAAAAAAATCAAAGTATAAATCTCTTCAAGTCATGGAATTAGTTATCTGAAGCTTAAATAATTGATTATCATCCTATTGAAAACCAGTAGGGTTTTGGAAGGATAATTTATGAAGCTGTGGCTGGAGGCAGTTTAAATTAAATGTTCTGAATTTTTGATGTTACATGATCCAATGTTTGTTAATCGATTAAGAGAAATAATGACAGCCAACACCATATAGATTGCCTTCATCTCTCTGTCAGAACAAATGTTTTGCTAGCTAATCTCTAAGCATCTATCATTTGTCTTTTTTTGTATAACTAGGCTTGTAATGCATTTGTCAACCAAACCGTATTTCTGTACTAAAGAAAAGAATGAGAAACACTTGCTCACCAGCTGCAATCAGTTCTTCTGATGGAAGGTCCTTTTTCTTGAACTTAGTTAAAAAGGTTAGTTAAAAATCACTGTGATTTAAGTACACAACACCTGAGCTTCCCAGGTCTCTGTGTAGCAACAACAGCACATTCACCTGAGAAAAAAATGAGAAGAACCTTTTAGCTGAAAACCAAATTCACGTGTTTCCACCCTCCCCCTTCCTTTTCTGCCATCCGTCCAACTTTCTCTCTTGTGAGTTCCCATGCTTATACACTGAATCCTTGGATTTCTCTTCATCTTGACTTGTATCAGGTGTCTTGTATGAGGACTGGAAATAAATAGTGGCTTATGTGTGTCTGCTACTTCCCCCCTTAAACAGTTTGGGTCTGGCTTATGTCCAGTGAAAAAAGAAACCACCAATGAAAGCTGGAACTGTAGGTGCTTTTGTTCCCAGTGAATGGCTGGGTTCACTGGTGCTTGAAGAAAGGTATGAACCTAATAGGAAGGCACAAGGGTTACTTTGTGTAGAGGAATGTAATTAACAAATAAAACGAACCTCTTTTTTTGAGGGGGAAATGAAATTACTTATTTAAAGAATACAGTTTAAATTATCTGATTATTGCTTCTGTGAGTTATAGTTTAAAAATGATCTGATTCTCTGGACATGATTCTTGATATAATTTTGACCTGACTTAATACAGGGAAAGTCCTTTATTCATTATCTTTGCACAAAGAAGGAATTAGCTGGATCACCTTTTCCCTTCTCCTTGGATAGCTTTTGCAAAGGAACTAGAAGCAATCCTCTTTTGTTTTTTCCTCTCATGTATTTGTTTATATGGCCTGTGTGGTTACACTTTTTCCTCCTCCTTTTCATTTTCTTGTCTTTGGTGCTTTATCTCCTGATGTTTGTTGTCACTGACATGTATATAACTAATGATGTGTGGTTCTTGTATTATGTATTGTCGCCTATTTTTGTACCAAAAAGTGTAAAATGTGTCGTTCTCTATTTTTAGTGTTATCTTTAACGTTTGTGATAGAGAATTCAAACTTCCTTTTAAAAAAAGGAAAAACTTCCTTCCGGTTAAAAAAGTATAGTAACTGTATTTGAATCCGTAATAGCTTAGCTCCTGGAATAGCTGACAGAGAAATGAATGTAGTGTGGCTACAGAAGACATGCAGGCAGATATTTAAATCACAGCACCACATTGCATTTATTCCTTTAAATTTTAAGCAAATAACAAAACCTTCTATCCGAAGTCAAACCAAGGGTGATTTAAAGAATCTCCTCCATCCAAGCTTTGGCTTTTGACATAGAAATTCCAGGCACTGAAGTTTAAATTATTCTTCAACTAGTTAGAGATCATTAAGTAGTTAGAAATGTACAAATTTTCAAAGTGTACTGAAGTGTTGTGCTCTCTAACTCTGAGGTACTGTGTACTTCATTGCACAGGTTTCTTATTGTAAGGAGTGAAAGCATAGACATTACATCAAATAGAATAAAATTAATGCTGATCTACTGGCGAGTGCCTTTGGGCAGGACAGTGATCAGCAATTTGTCTGCTGTGGTCTATGTTTGAAGATCAGAATTTCAGCCTTTGTCAATCTTGTCGTGGAGAGGTTGGCAGTCCTGGTCAAATACACTTTGTCAAGGTTTAATACTAGAAATAAATTACTGTGATACTTTATAAATCTGAACTGGATGCCTTCACTATACCTATTCAGACACTGCTTGTTAGGTGAGACCTTATCTGCGTGTGTTCATCATACACATCTGAAACGAGTGTGAAGCTAGAGGTCATGCTAGCAGAGATGCTTTCCATCCCAGATGTACTGCCTGACATTCAAATCACCAACCTGTGCAACAGCAGTTACCAGCCAAATACAGAATCTCTGCAGTGAGCACACGTTTCTGCACCCATTCACTGAACTAGTGTGATCTTGTTCATTGAACTTGGCCAGCTTAGTCTCCAGGGTAATGTGGGCAGAAGGTGTTTCCATTTTCCTCTTCTATTTTAAAAGATTCATTTTGGATGTACAAGTCACTGTGTATATACAGTTTTATCCAGGTCAAAAGTAGGGAATGTAAGAATTAGCTAAATATATGGCAGAACGAGGCAGCAATAAAACATGTGAAGAGGACAGACTTTTAGAAAGAAATATGTTGCAGAGTGACTGACACTTGCAATCACGTTATTGCTTTTGAGTCACCATGCAGCAGTGGATTTAGGTACATATCCATATGTGTAACCCATCTATGAAATGTGAAACTGACTTTTAAATTCTGCTTTATGTAGCGTTGCACAAATGCTAATTTAGATAAAAACCCAGCCCCACTGTACTGATGAGTTCTCTGATGTCACTCTTTCTGTGGCCTCATAAGTGTTCTGGCACGAGTTGGGATATCCTGATGTAAGGAACAACAAGCTGATCAGGGTGTAACAGGACAACCCCATGTGACATTCACTCTCACTTATGCATAAGTTTAATTTAAAGTGATCATGGACTGACTGCATAAGAGAAATACAGTTTATTCGTATAAAATTTTGAGTCATAAGCATAGACAAAATGCTTATCTGGATAAGGTGCACAAAATCTTCAGTGCCAAAAGTAATGCCATGGTGATATATCTGCAGACAGAAAAGTCAGTCTTCAAACTGAAGTAGCTTGCCTCTGTCTGCAGCATGATTCAGTGACAGAGGATGAGCATTGCTACCAGCCTGAACAGTCTTTCCTATCCCCAGGCTGCAGAGATTCCTAGGGCTGGGTAGTTCAACTTACCATGTCTTTTCCAGTGGTGTTTGCATAGGTATGGCTTTGCTTACATGATCCAGTTACAATGGTGTAATGAGCTATTCTGAGTCCACTGAGCTGCAAGAACTCTGTGGGCCATGAGCACAAGTGCAGGTGATGCTGGGCTTAGTTAACATGATAATCATATCAGATTTGTTAACCTGTGGGAACTTATTTCTTTGAGACCTTAAGATGAGCACAAATCTGAATTTGCTGAGAGCACAGTGTGAAAATTCATAGTATGAGAATAGAAAATAAAAATGTCCCCATCTGAGAGAATTTCTAGGGAAGAAGATCCCGCAGTGACACATCTTTGCTCTGTGTGGTTGGTCATGTGTTATAGCTTCTTCTCATAAGAGTAAGTGTGAAATCCCCCGAATTACAGTAAGCTCAGTGGAAGAAACCCCTGCTATAATTAAAAGTAAGTATACTCAATTCAAATGAAAATTTTTGGTTTTGCTTTGACTGTTAAATATCTCCTTCAATTCTTGCAGAACTGAAAACTCCTGTGTGATACCTCATCTCTGCTGCTCCTGTCTCTTTGTGTCCCACAGGGACTGGCCTCTTTCTGTGCTCAGAGGAAGATATGAAGAGGATGATGATGTGAAACACATCTCCACTACAGTAATAAGGAATAAAAGGGGATATTAAGACCCTTTAAAGAGCTGTTTTCTGTTTGAGTATGTATGATGTAGACACTGTTGGGCCTGTCAGTCAAATTATCCCAATTTTGTAAGCATTGTATTTTAAGAAGAAAGAGTGGAGCTGGCCTGATGCAATGTGCTGGAAGGGGGATGCTGGCCACACTGTTGGCTGCTGCAGGCGAGCTGGTTTTGCTGTGGGAAGCCAGGGAAGGTTTCTGGCTCAATCACATTAAACCCTGACTACATTTCTTCAGCAGATGAAAACAAATGGCTTGACCCTTTGTTTTATAAGCCTAGCAGTATCAGCTCCCTCCTTTATGACAGTAAGACAAAAGGCTCTGAGTTTAAAAAGACATGCAAAAATGCACTAGCGTCACTGATGAAGGAAAGAAAAGGGAAAGAAGGATTCAGGTTTCGGTGATGAGTTACTCCTTCTTTTTCCTTGTGAGTTGTTCTACAAAGGTCCTAGCATCAAGACTGGTGTGAAAGTGCTGCTGCTTGTTTTTACTTGGACCACACTATGCTGGAGGCTGGGAGTGAAATTCCCTGCCTGATGGAAGTCAGTTGGCTTTTGCTTGGATGGGCCAAAATTTTCTGCTGGAGTTTTAAAGATTACTACTTGTGTTAGGCATTAACTTTCAGAAGGCATTTGAGCAACCTGGGAATGTGCTAGTAAACTGAGACACTCAACTGTAACTTTAGCTGGGTTAATCCCATCATTACAGAAGTCTGTGCTCTAGCATGTGTCCAGTCACTCTTTTGTTCATTGGTACCCTGGAGTAGTATGGTAGGGCAGAAATAAACATTATACCATTCTGAAACAAGCTGTCCTGTGCAAGTCATAAAGCTCCTCAAACCCTGACCGCTGCTCTTGTATCTGCCTTTGGGCAGGCAGAAACTGAGGCCTGTTGGTTGAACTTCGCACGGCAGAAGCTCATCCACTTATGTGGAGCTCAGCTGTGGTCCTGCATGGCAGAGCGTATCTGACTTGGGAAAGTACCAATTACAAAAGCTGTCCTTGTTCTTGACTCTACTCAGTGAAGCATACTGTGAGGAACACCTCTCCTGCCTTGGAGAGAGAAAGGAAGGGGAAGGAAAAGGAAAGGAAAAGGAAGGGGAAGGGGAAGAGGAGGGAAAGGGGAAGATGATCACAGATACCAATCCACAGAGCAGCAGACCCGAGGACTGGGAAACCCAGATTCACGGGAGGATGTAGGCACTATAGTTAATTGACTTTTCTTTGGCAGTGAAGCTCCTCAGGCAGTCAAGGCATTGCCACCAGCAAAGATCCTGGCAGGGCTGAGCAGCTCTGTGCTGTCTGGTAAGCTCAGCAAGGGTCCCACAGCACATGTGACTGTACCCAGGTCTTGGAAAGGGCTTCATCATGCAGATGGGCACTTACAACAGTTGTGCCCCATCTGCCTGATCCTTACGTACGTACATGCTGGTATGACACTGGAGGATAGATATGCTTTCTGCCTGCGTGCGTGTTTCCTTGACCAAACAATTTTAAAATACCCATTCATTCTGTGCATTTAGTCCTGTGTAACTGATACTACCTTTAGGAAGCTTTTTGTATCGATATGATCATAAATTAATTCTCAGGTATGCAGAGAGTTTTTTCAGTTCAGCATGGAAAAATGGGAGGTGGCAGATATTAGAGTGATATATCTGGTTGCGTGAATTCTGGAGCACTTGCTCAGTTATTATACTGCCTTTCTAGGATGTGACATAATATTTTGTGCTCATTTCTTTTTAACCTGCTTGACCCCTTCAAATGATACACAAACCTGAC